TTTCAAGGGAGGCTCCTGCCTTCCTCCGCACACACTTGTCTTTCAAACCAAGACACCAGCACCAAGAGAAGGCAGTAAAAATGCAGCACAGGTACACAGTTACTGTGTAGTCAAATAATTTGAAGTACCGTAAGCACTGTGTCTGACAATGATTTGTCAGACTTGCAAACACATGTACTTTAAAATTTTCTGTATAGGCTGAGCATATTTCTTAAAAGAATACCTCTACCCAGGAGCTCTAAAGAGTATGTTATATAATCTCTTAGCTGGGCCATCAGATATGAACATTTGAGAGCTGTCGTCAATATGGAAGTGAGAAGAGTCCACCATCCTTCACTGCGATATTCACACATAACATAATCCAAGAGCCTGCAACACAGTAAAATTGAGAGAAAAACCCAGTTATATACACACCAATATTTTTAGATGCTCACATTTATTTGGTAAATTATGGTAAAGAAACACAGTTATTGCATGAATTTTCTATTTCAGGCTAGAATAATTTTTCACAAGATAACAACAGGGAAACTCATCTGTCTTCACATAAAGAACTATCAAAACAACAACTGGACAGAAGAGTCTTAGTCCAGCACTGCATCAAAAATACGCTTTACTATTGAGTATTTAAGAAAAACAAACCGAAATGCCACAATAAAGTTCCCTTCCAAACTGAAGGATTTTAATGTTCCTTAAGCTGAGATGTTTCTTCTCCCTCCTAACTCCTGCTCCCTTCAAGTGTTTCAAAGATCTACAAGCACCCCATGCATCAATCTTTGTAAGGCAAAACTGTGCACCTTAATATGGTTTTAATATCGAGCAATGTTTGCTATTACTAGCAAAGCACAGAAGTGAATTTTTTTTAAACTCAGTTCAACTGTTCAAGACAAGAGTTTCTGTCTACTTCAGAAAAATCTACCTAAACATAAAATACAAAATGCCTGATCATATAAAAATTAGGTTTGACACAAATTTACCTGCTTATCCTAGCCTATCTTCTCCGTGTCGCTTCCAGTCAGCTAGTAACAACAGTAAACACATCTCTCCTGTCTCAAACATACTCCCTTCACAACATGTGATCTTTGAAACCTAATTAATAAAAACATTGTGGGGCTCCTACTTTAATGGGTTTGTGTGCAAAGGTTTTGGCAGTGGGGGGAGGCTACAGGGGTGGCTTCTGTGAGAAGCTGCTAGAAGTTTCCCCTGTGTCAGAACCTATGCCAGCTGGCACCAAGACAGACCTGCTGCTGGCCAAGGCTGAGCCCACCAGCAACAGCAGTAGCACCTCTGGGACAACGTATTTAAGAAGGGGAAAAGTTACTGCACAAGAACAATTGCAACCGGAGAGAGGAGTGAGAACATGAGAGACAAACAACCCTGCAGACACCAAGGTCAGTGAGGAAAGAGGGAGAGGAGGTGCTCCAGGCACCAGAGCAGCGATTCCCCCGCAGCCTGTGGTGAAGATCATTGTGAGGCAGGCTGTACCCCTGCAGCCCATGGAGGTCCACAATGGAGCAGATATCTGCCTACACCCTGTGGAGGACCCCACGCCAGAGCAGGTGAATGCCTGAAGGAGGCTGTGACCCTGTGGGAAGTCCATGCTGGAGCAGGCTCCTGGCAGGACCTGTAGACCCGTGGAGACAGAGGAGCCCAGGCTGGAGCAGGTTTGCTGGCAGGACTTGGGTAACTGTGGGGGGACCACGGAACAGTCTCTTCCTGAAGGACTGCACCCCACAAAAAAGACCCACACCAGAGCAGTTTGTGAAGAACCATAGCCCATGGAAGGGACCCACACTGGAGAAGTTTGCGGAGGACTGTCTCCTGTGAGAGGGACACCACGCTGGAGTAGGGGAAGAGTGTGACCTTGACCATTTCCCCTTAAAAATATGAGGTTAAGAAACTAAGCATAAGACACATCCTTCAGAAAAGATGGTAGCTGTGCATCAGCACTAAGCTTTCCCAGCTCTTTAGTCATTAATAGCAGAAAACTACACCAATACAAATAATTCTTTTGCTAATTCCCTGGTATATAGACAAAAATTAATTTCAGCTACACTTCCATATTTTTTTAATATTATAACTACAAAGTCTGTAATTAAATGTAACCATATTCTCACTGCAGTAGCAGGCAAGTTTCAGAACTCACTTTTGGGAGAGAGAGAGAGCACACTCAATCAGTGAGCTAGAAATAAATAACATTTGCCCAATAAGGCAAATCCCCACCACAGCTTACAGCAGGATGTTTTTCTGCTCTAATAACTGACTCATAAATGTTTTACTTTAATACAAGTGGAGTTCATAGACTCCAAAGCTTGTGCTTCAATCAAATCTAGGTACAAGGAACACCTTACATGAGCTTCCAACACTATTCTATGGCAATAAGACATGAGATCTTAGTGAGAAGAATAGCACGTGAAAGAAGCGATCATGGATGGTACTCACTTTAAAGCTTTGGTGTAATCTTTAGCGTAGTAATATTCTTCTCCCATTTGAACCACTGATTTAAAAAAAAAAAAAGTGTTCCAGATCAATACCAAAAGTCTTTGCAAAATAGATTAAAAAAATGCTTCTGATTATCTATACTCACTCAAATGACTTTTCATTCTTGGACATTTGTATTTCTTGAACTGTGCGACAGCATTACTCAACAAAGTGATTATTAGCTCCTATCAGATAAAACCATTACTGATTATCATTATACATGCAAACATTAAACAATGTTAGAAAATGGATTTTTTTTCTAGAGTAAAACTTACCGAGTGAAGGACATTTTTCTCTTTCAACTGTAGGGATAAAATCCCCATCTTCTCCTTTTCAGGATCAGAAAGATCAAAGCCTGCATAAGATAACAAAAAAATTCATGAAATTGGAATTTTGTCCAGACCCAAAGGGAACTATTTATGTGGTAAGCTATATGTGATGCAAGCTCCACCTCAAGCACGCTCAAACTCTTAAACATTCTTTTGCCTAGGAGATGGACATATTGCTTTAAGAACTCATCCATCCTCTGTGTTCTAGAAGCAAAATTCTGGAACAAATATCTTGGTGGGGGTTTTCTTTGTGTTTTTTTGTTGTTGGTTTTTTTTTTTTAAGGAAGTTATCTGAACCTACCCAAAAGTAGCGAACTACGGAGTCTTTAGGCTACATCTATTAACATTTAAAGTGCATGTGTTAAGACAAATTTGTAGCCCTTTTCCTATCTGATCTCAAGTAAGGATTCAAGCTTATGTTTCTTTAGCAGCAGAGAACACACGTATGAAGAACTGTATAGGGCTTTAAAAGACTATAAACTCTTGCTGGAACCAAAAAACCTGAACATATTAAAAAAAATTTCTCTTCATATTAAACTGTTTAGCCTTGACAGTAGATTCTAATTTTAAAACACTTGAATATAAAAGAGATTAAACAGTACTGTATTTACAGTAAACGAAACAAAGTCTTCACAAAAGTGGCAATAAAAAAAAGAAGACCAAACCACAGTCAACAATGAAGATCTCAGAACTGCATGTGTACTCATACATAGCTCAAAGCTGTACATTCAAAGTCTGAATTTCTGAGAAAACATCCTCCTTACTAGGAAAACCACAAATTCCTTTCTTAGATTAAAATCTAGTCATTGCATCCTCTCAACCCATTTTGAAATCCAAAAAGCTTTTTCAGAAAAAAAAGAAGTCCTGAGTTGCTGTCTACAGTTGACGAAATACAGCATGGATGGCAGGATGAATTTATAACAAATTGTATTCAGGGACATCGTTACTTTTGCTGTATCCAGTTCTGTAACTTCTCTTCC